ATAAAATAAAATTTTGAATAACATTACAATCACTATAGAGTAGAGATTTATACCATTAAATTAAACCTTGGACACCTTGGTGAAAAGGTAATACAAACGTAAGAAAAGGAAACATAGAAGAAGGATAATTGCTTTGAATTAAAGAAAAGGAAATGTGACGATGGTCGACATGATTTTGCAACTAACCTATCTAGCTTTGCTCTTTAGTCAACCATGCCTCCAAACAACTACTACTTTACTCCTCCCATCTCTTTCTACTAAAACGCCATTTAATTTTGACTGCCCCTTGGCAGACATCATATCATTTCCCAATCCCACCATGAATGGATAAACAAAATTAGAACTTTTTTCCCAAGTTATAATAATGGTGGAAAAATATACATGAAATTATTAAATATAATAAAAAAAAACCAAATTAGTGTTTTTTTTTTTTTTTTTATATAAAGAAACCATAAATAGATTAATGAATAATATGAGAGGCATACTCAAAAGGAACCAAATCCATATGCAGAGACCCTCTATTTCAAATCAGTTTTAGCTAATGCATGAGCTAGTTGATTAACAGTTCTACAAATTAAACTAGAAAAACAGTAACTAATAAAAGAAAAGAAGTGAATACAGTCTTGGCAAATAAAATCTAAATAAGTCCGGTTCTTGGATCTTTCATATATCGATATGCTAATTTTTTTTTTAATATATTGTTAGAGCACTACATATTTCCATTTTAAATTAAAAATATATTTAATAATTTTTTAAATAAATTTACGTATGTAGTTCACTAGTTCATGACAATGTGTAAGCCAGTATAATGTTTATAAATCAACCAATTAACTATTCAAAGTTATTGTTAGGTACGCATGCATGTCATTATAACCTTTTTTATTTTTCTTTTATGTTTTAGTATAGTAGGATGAAAAGTAATTAACACTATTTTGTAAAAGGGATATATACTTATTGATATTATTGGAAGTGACTTAACCATAGACGAAGGACCATATCAGACATAACACTAGTGGAAACTAGAGAATTTCCGACCACCTGAACGTGATCTGAAATCAAGTTAATACCATAAAGTGGTCGGAAATAGCAACAAAGGTTTTTCCGGATATCAAAAGTGGTCGGAACAAGGCTTTTGACTTGATTTAAGATCACTTTCAGGTGGTTGGAAATTTCATAATTTCTAATAGGAACAAATTGCACTTTAGGTCCTATGAGTATTAGGGTACTGACAATTTGAGTACGTGACTTTTAAAACTCCCAATTTAAACCTTTAACTATGCAATTTTTGGCACTTTTGGTCCTCCGGGCCAAATTGCCGGTCAATTTTGGCCGGAAAAACATAAATTGGTTCAAATTATTTTTTGACGAGGGTAAAATTGTCATTTCACACTCTGCTTCTTCATTCACCCCTTCTTCTTTCTTCTTCTTCTTCGTTCTTCTTCTTCTTCGTTCTTCTTCTTCTTCATCCTTGCACTGGGCATCAGCTACTCAATCTCCACTCACCAAAAACACGGACAGGATCCGGGGGATTTCCGGCGGCGAGAGGCGGCGCGTGTCCATTGGCGTGGAGGTTTGAATGTGGCGATTCTGGAAAATGCTTCAAAGTCACATTCTTGCTCAATCCCCTGCACCGAGTTTGTTAATTATTGATTATTGATTATTGATGTGATATGGATTACGGTAGTATGTTAATAAGTTAGAAGAGGAGGTTTGAATGTGGATTACGATAATATCGACCATTATAGACCATACGAAGTTAAGGATAGCAGTGGCGGTAGTGGACGACGGAGACGGCGGAGGCATGGCGATTGAAGGCGAGGGAGCGGCGGCGGCACTGGACACCGGAGAAGCGACGGAAACAGGGGACGACTCAGCTTCTGCGGCGGAGGAAGGCGATGGCGATGGAGTCGCAACGAGAGGAGCGGGAACTGGGGTCGGTGGCTCCGCTGCGGAATACGGCGATGGAGCGGCAGCGAAACTCGGTGCAGGGGTGGTAGCAAGCCTATGGTTTTCTTTTGCAAGTTTTTGCATCTCTGCATGTTGTGTGGCAAGCTTCTGCTCCATAATCTCAGGATGAGGAAGCATCTCAAATGGAGGGAAACCACTAGGTGGGGGCCGAATCGAATGACCATAAGGATCAGGATGCACAGTGCTTGGCCTGCTATCTAGATTGGACTGCTATCGGATGACTCCTATGCTGAGCGAAGAAGAAGAAGAACAAAGAAGAAAGGGAGAATGAAGAAGAAGAAGGGAGTGAAATGACAATTTTACCCTCGTCAAAAAACAATTCGAACCAATTGATGTTTTTCCGGCCAAAATTGGCCAGCAATTTGGCCCAGAGGACCAAAAGTGCCAAAAATTGCATAGTTAAAGGTTTAAATTGGGAGTTTTGAAAGTCACGTACTCAAATTGTCAATACCCTAATACTCACAGGACCAAAAGTGCAATTTGTTCTTTCTAACAGTGTAAATTTAATACTTGATGACTTAATCGGTCAAAGTTAATGACCAATATGGTACTTTTGCTATAGTCGAGAGACCAAAACGTTAATTAACTCTATTATTAGGTATATTACCATTATTATTCATATCCTGACTCAGACTCTTATATCATATCGTTATAAATACATATCTTCATTATGTACTTTATAGCATCATGTATTGATCAATAATATAATTATTTTCAAAACTATTGTTTTAATCATAATTGCACTACATGATATTCTTGTTCCACCTACACCTTCTATGAGGCTAATTAATGATTCACTCATACATGTTTGTATATTATTGGACCTTTTATAAGGGTTAGATTTCATAAGTTACCTATAATTATCAACTTAACGTACTAAAAAGGGTTAGTAATTTGCTAAATATTGAAATTTTATTTTTGAGTCATTTTGAATGATTAAGAGTTTCATTTTATTCTGATCTTATAAAAAAAAATAAAAAAGAGTTTCATTTTATTTATTATTGCCGTTGTTTAATTACCCATTTGTCAATTCTAATTTAATCCAATTGTTTTATATTGTGATCGCTAACTCAATTTACACCAACCGTCAAATTCAAATTAATTTGTCTACAATAAGTCACTAATACCCTTCACTAGGTTTAAAAGGTTAATATCACTCTATTAATAATGAAGACAAAGAGTTTTTTTTTTTTTTTTTTTTTTTTTTTTTTTTTTTTGGATTTTTTTCATTCGAGAAAGGATTTTAAACTCCGAATCTTTTTCAAGGAGAGTGCACGATTAGTCGGTTACTCACGTCAACTAATAAACTGGTTAATATTTAAATGTTCGCATGGGTAGCTCAACTAGTCATAGAGATGAAACTTTGGAAGAATGACCAGGGATTGAGTCTCACCAACGACAGTGTGGGAGCAACCTCACAAAGTGAGGGGAGCTCTTTGTGCGCAGTGAGCACTGGTTTAGCCTCTGTGGTTCATGTTCAGTTGAGTCACTCTGTCAGGCCCTTAGGGTTGGGGTTTAGCCTTTTGGAAGAATATTTAATTAAAAAGGTAACATAATCAAGGTAAAACGTGATGAATGAGCTTAACATAAGGAGTTGTTGAGGGAGGCGGATGGCGGAAATTAAGGCAGAAGAAAGAATGAGAAAACACGTGGCTGCATGTGATGATCGGCCATGATATCGCTTCACTGCACCCTCACTACTTCGATCCTATGGATATTTTAATTTTTAAAAGAAAAGATTACAGTAATGATTGTGAGAAGGTTCAGTATAGATACTAAATAGGGTACAATTCTCTATCGCCAGCTATCACTAACTTATCCTCTATGCCCTTTCGCCATCTCTACAACCCTACTTGGTCCTCCCATTTTATATATACAAGAGATTTTATTTATTTATTTTTTTGAATGCTAATCTGTTCATATACTTTCTCAAGTTACTGAAACACAAAAAACCAATAACACCCTACCAAAACTCAAACTCACAACCTTTCAAATGAAAGTCTAACTTGGATACCATTATACCATATAGTCCTGGTATATTTTATTTACTACTATACTATTACCAACTATCATATAGTATGATATTAGGTCGATTATCATTCTAAATAGTAAAATAAGTGGTTATAGATTCAATTTCAAAAAATACTACTTTGTAGATGAGAAAAAGTGGTTTGTACTCTATGTTTTGTACACGTATTTATGGAAGAAATGAAAAGCAACTAGTTTTGTCGGCGAAGAACAACTATCCAGGAGGGGCCAGCCTCGTAGGTATTCAATATTTCATTTCATACATATATACATATATATCATATAAAAATGAAAAGGACAATTCGTGTACTACTCCAATAATATTTGGTTGAATTTCCTTACTTTTGTTTCACTATAAACATTGATTCCACAACCATATTATCCGCAGAAAAATCATCTCATCCCGCACCGGTTTAGCTTAATAATTCAGTAAGTAATATTCGAAAGAAGATATTAATGTTCAAATTTCGATGGCAACAATATAGAATTATGTTCATTGTCTACTAAGTCATTGATTTATATCCTCTCAAATACCTTGTCAGATCGGAGTGTGAAGCCCTTGATGTTAGGGATTCAACCATATAGTAAAAAAGAAAAATTATCTCAGATCAAACCGTATATATATATATATATATATATATATATATATATATATATATATATATATATATATATATCATGTTTCTGCTATTAAATTATACTGTAATATTTTAAGCTTATCAAAAAATTAATTGTAAAATAAACTATTTATCATTGATATGATTAAGCAATTTAATATCATTTACTTCCTTTATAACTTTAAATATCTTTTAGTGTCAAAATAGATAAATGAGTGTGTGAAATACTCTTCATAATTTAAATATCTTTTTTAGTGTTTAAATAGATAATTGATTGTGTGAAATATGATTTTAGTGTTAGAAGACTATTTCCCCGATAGACTATTTTTACAAATTTTAAAAATGCAATTTTTTAGGACTGCATTTGATTAGTTGACTCAAATTTAAGGCGCAGTCTTGAAGAAAGCTTGAGCACTTGGGGACTGTGACAATTGTTCTTCATATTTTGGTGAAATTGTTTCTTCATATTAAACAATCATCCAAAACAAGAAAATTAAATCAAGAAAACGCCAAAAAGGCCTTCAAAACCCCCTCCACTCCCGGCAAAAGCACCCTGCGTCTCCTTTTCCCACAAACAGACGAATTCATATGTATTTGTCTTTGTCGGTATTCTTCGGCTTTGATCTGCGAATGGGTCGCGGAAGCCGCAGGAGATGCAAACATTAGATTGAGTCCTTCATGGGAATGCATATGAAGCCATTTCCTGTGTCTTTTTAAATTTCAGTTTTTTTCTAATGTGTTTTTCTCCTTGAGTGAGTAAAGATAGAGTATTGGGCAAATGGGAATGGCAACGGAGTCGAGAATGGATCAGTATGATATTATGGAACAGATTGGCAGGGGGGCATTTGGTGCTGCAATTCTCGTTCATCACAGACAAGAGAAAAAGAAGTATCAATCACTTCCTTGAATTTTCTCTTTCTCCCTTTCTTTTAGTTCTAAAGTTTGTAAATTTAGGCATTTTAAGGTTTCCCAAGATCAATTGTTTCTGTTTTGTGTCTGGGATTGTTAGGTATGTGCTAAAGAAGATTCGGTTAGCACGACAAACGGAGCGGTGCAGAAGAGCTGCTTATCAAGAGGTGCATTTTCTGTGTCCATGAATCTTGACATTCATATTATTTCTCTGCTGTTTTTGTGTGTGCGTGTTGGGAAATAATGATGGATTATTTCTATTTTTGGATTCTTAATTAATTTGATTGGTTATATACAGCCACTAAGAAAATTAAATGCATTTGATATTGATCCTTTTGTGTCTTGTCTGTGCTGGGAATGGTTGCATACTACCCAGAAATTGGAAATTTTTACAGAGATCTCACTGAAATTTAAATGTGTAGATGGCTTTAATTGCCCAAGTTCAACACCCTTATATAGTCGAATTCAAAGAAGCATGGGTGGAGAAGGTGAGAGGCTTTATTCCACAGTGAATTAGTTATAGACGACTTATAGAAACCTTTCATCTCAAGTCGACTTTGTTTGTTATCTTCCCAAATGGAACTGCAGGGTTGCTATGTTTGCATTGTTATTGGCTACTGTGAAGGTGGCGATATGTAAGTTTATTAAGAAATATGAGGTTCATAAGAACATTGGGTTTTGTTTAGATTTTAGAATTACTTGTTTCTGAGTTTTAAGTGCTCTTATAGGGCTGAATTGATGAAGAAAGCAAATGGATTATACTTTCCCGAAGAGGTATGTTTATGAACTTCTATTAGCTTTATCCCAAAGATTAAGCTGTTCATAGGATATGCCATTTCTCTTACCTATAAAAAGGAAGAATGTTTCTCAAATGTCATCTAAAGCACGGGTTAATCTAACCTTATATCTTCATCTACTTTCTCGGGATTGTTTGACTGTTAAAAAGTAATATTTTCCATGCAGAAACTTTTGAAGTGGTTCACTCAATTACTGTTGGCAGTTGAATATCTGCATTCAAGTTTTGTTCTACACCGTGACCTGAAAGTATGCATTTTAATTTTTTTAAAAAAACTATGTTTGGGTTTAGTTTTCTCTATTGTGTATTGAGTTACGATGCTATTCTGTGGCAGTGCTCTAACATCTTTCTGACAAAGGGTCAAGATGTTCGGCTAGGTAAGTTTGGTACTTTTGTTATTTTGTTGAATTTCATATCTTCTAGAAGCGATAACAATGTACCCTTTAGATGATCTGCTCATTGTGCAGGTGATTTTGGGCTTGCTAAAACATTGAAGGAAGATGACTTGACTTCTTCAGTATGTGTTAATACATATGCTTTTTTGCTATCAATTTCTAACGTATGGATGGAAGAAAATACTTGCACGGTAAGTCCTCTTCGGGAACTAACATTTTTGTTGTTTACGTCTTCAGGTTGTTGGAACTCCCAATTACATGTGCCCCGAACTTCTTTCAGATATTCCTTATGGCTTCAAATCGGATATTTGGTCTCTAGGTAAGCGTTTTCAAATTAGTCTTGGACAAGTATGATGATTTGTGAAACTGAAGTGAAGTGTTGGTTTGTAATAAACTTTTCCCGAATCTTTTTGTTCATGACTAGGATGCTGTATGTATGAAATGGCTGCTCATCGGCCTGCCTTTAAAGCATTTGTAAGATTCTTTGAACTTGTCTATTTCTATAGCTTCAAGAGGGGTAATCATTCTGAAAGTTGTCTTAGAAAGCCCGCTCATTTCCCAAACGAATGCAGTTTTTGTGGTTTTTCCATTCTATTCAAGCTAATGGTGAAATTTCATAATGTCTCAGGACATGGCAGGATTAGTAAGCAAGATTAACCGATCAGCTATTGGCCCGCTTCCTCCGTGTTATTCTCCATCCATGTAAGTACCGCTTTTCTTCCTATCTTATTTGTACAAAAACCTCGTAGATGCTGCACCATATAATGTACACATTCTCACGTTTGATGATGATTTCCTGCTTAGTATCTGAGCCTAGCGATTGTGTTTTTTCTCGTGAATTCATTCTCTTGTAAACCCATGATTAATATGGTTTCCCGCATGGCTAATTTTGCAATATTCTTTATCAGGAAGACGCTGATTAAGGGCATGCTAAGAAAGAATCCTGAGAATCGACCTACTGTAAGCCCTTTCGGTAATCGTTTTTTGTTTTCTGTTAGTTTCTAATCACTTGATCTCGTCCATTTCAGGCATCTGAACTCCTGAAGCACCCCTATTTGCGGCCCTATGTTGATCAATATCGCCCATCCTGCAATCCTCCTGCAAGTTCCCCCGAGAAGCCTCTTTCCGTTGTTCATAACAATCGAAAGCCTATGGTTGAAAGCTGTAGCAGTACTAGTTCAGCAGGTTCTGGGAATGCCATTGAAGCTCCACCTAAAGCTCCAAAGCCAATTTCAGTAACGCATTCTCTGAAACATAAGGTATCGATGCTTATTTCATTGTCTATAATTGGCATTTTATCCCGAAATTGCTAAAATATGTGAGCATGCATTTGTTTTGCTACTTTCTTTGCAGTTGCTTGCTTCCGATTCCTCTCCAAAAACTAAGCCTAGACACGAGGGAATCTCTTCCTCCTGGCCTGTAAAAGACGGATTTCCTTCCAGGGCGAGACAAAGAACGCCTAATTTAACTAGACGATCATCGATTCCTGCAGTGTTGAGGCAGGCGGGAAGTGATGCTCCCGACAATAATAAGAAGGTTCGGGATACGGATGACACTTTGAAGGCCCTCCCACGTTCTGCTGCTTTTAACGATGATGCTTCAACTAGCAGGCCTCCTAGTAGTTCTATTCCTACATCTAGTGGTCACGATAAGCATATCGTAAAGGAATTTGTCTCTTCAACAAGAGGTGCCTCTCTTGTTCCCTTGAGTCAAAACATCGTGCTTCGATCAGACCACACTTCAGAAATGGATGGTCAAGATAACCTTGGGACCGAGGAGCCAGTGATTGAAAACGTTGGGAAACTGACAGGCATAGTAAGTGCTGAGATTGATATTACAGCAAACCATGCAAGCCTCGCCATTTCAAAATCATCTAGTAATGATGGAAGTATGACGCTGAAATCAGATCCCTGTGACTATGTCAAAACTAAGGAAATGGATTCAGGAAACCTCAGCAATCCCGCCTCCCCTGTCTCAGCTTTGGATTCTTCAGCACCAGCAAAACCCAACCCTCGAGTTGCAGAGGAAAGACCCGTGAAAGAGGCGTTAGATGTCAAGTCTTTCAGGCAGAGGGCAGAGGCGCTCGAAGGGCTATTAGAATTGTCAGCCGACTTACTGGAGCACAATAGATTAGAAGAGCTTGCCGTCGTTCTGAAGCCTTTTGGAAAGGGCAAGGTTTCTCCAAGGGAAACCGCAATCTGGTTGGCCAAAAGTCTGAAAGGACTAATGCTTGAAGATTCAGCTCATAATTCATGATCATTATTCATATGGTATGTGCATTCATAGCATAATATTTCAGCCTTTTTTTTTTTTTTTCTAATTTTTTTTCCATTTGCAAGTTCCACTTGAATCCTTGAAGACAAATGTTACAGTTGACTCCTGCATTGGCATATCACCCAGATTTTTTTTTTTTTTAAATTTCTTAGTATAGTACATTGTACACATCAACAATACAAACTGGGAACATTTTTTATCCCTCCAAATGCAGAATAAAATGTTTTTATATTACATTGTACCTTAATCTCAATATGGATGTTGTGGAAATTAAAGAAGCAAAAATTGATGAGTTTCCACCATTAATGTGGAGTATTAAAGCTGCTGTTTTCTTGATGACTGCTTTGAGAAAATGGAGAAGGAAAAATGTTGCTACGTGTGGGAAAGGCAAAGCCTTTTTTGGGCATTGAAGGTGGAGGATGAAAAAGCTGATTCTTTCCCATTTCCTAAAGTATTCCTAACCTTCCTTTTGTTCATGTCTAGCTTCCCCATGTTAGCAAAATATCTCATTTACTTGGTAACCAGATTACAAGTTTGACTCTCAGCAAGAACAACTTATTAGTCTTATCGAAGCTAGTTTACCTTTTTGCATGTGTTGTGTAAAGTGCGTCAGTTTACAAGTTTGACTCCCAACAAGAACAGCTTATTAGTCTTATCTATAAGCTGGTTTACCTTTTTGCATGTGTTGTATACTTAAAGTGCGTCAGTTTAATGCTTAATGTGCGTCCAACCGCACAACCGTACGGGAAGCCCCTTCCAGCACCTAATCCCTTTCCCCTATATATATATATATATATATATATATATATATATATATATATGTCATGATTATGATTGAAACCTTTAAAAGAAAAACATTGAAAATAAAGCATGCATTAATTATTTTGGTGTAGTTAAATGTGTGAGGTGGAGATGGTCGTGTTAGGTGAGGTGAAGGAAGTTGGAACAAATTAAAGTTAGTAGAGCATCTGCATGCACTTTTAATTTGTCATCAATAAAACCACCACCCTATCATTTCATCCAACATATATTCACCTTTCTACCCTAGCTAGATAGCTTCATTATTTATCCCTTCAAAGCCAAGTTTCTATATTTAAAATTGAGTAATGTTAGGTATCCTCCTAAAAACAGAATGTTATTGCTGTGAGCACGTGTCCACCTTAGCTTGTAAGGTGGGCACAATTCCATATCCATAATTTTATATTGTAGATTCATTATTTCTATACTATAGATCTATAATTTCTATACTGTAGATTTATCAAATTTATACTTTAGATTCATAATTTCTAAATCGTAGATTCATAATTTATATACAATAGATTCATAATTTCTATGTTGATTCATTATTTTTATACTGCTGATTCATAATTTCTGTACTGTAAATTCATAATTTCTAAACTGTATAATTATCAAATTATGAACATATAGTTCTCTGGTTTGTGAAAACAGAGTGCAACAATTGGAATCTAAAGTATAAATTTTATGAATATACAATATAGAAATTATGAATCTATATAGTATAGAAATTATGGATATGGAACCGTGCTCACAACCAATCATTATTGTGTGAACCATATTTTGTATACTGTAAAATAATGTACTTTCAGTATAAAAATAATGTATATTCAGTACAAAAATAATGTACATTTAGTATATTAAAAATGTACTTTTTGTTATGGTCTACATAACATTGTTAAATTATTATGCCTCGTGCGCGCTAGACAGTTGGTGGCAGTTTTATTTTAATTTTGTTTTAATTATTATTTTTGTTATTATTATTTTAATTAATTTATAATAAATAATATTTTTAATTGTTAATAAAAAACATTTTTAAAAAAAATAAGAAGGTCATGTGTCAACACCGTATGGATTTAACCTGATAAACAAGTGAAATTGGACTTAATTGAACAATTTTACCGGTTCAGGGGACTTGAATGAAGCTTTTATCACTTAGGGTACCCAATTGCACTGAGCGTTATGCCATGGAACTGTGTTCACCATTCATGGTGAACACGGTTCCAACGGTGTTAGTACACCGTTATCTTTTTTTTTTTTTTTTTTTTTTTTTTTTTTTCTTAATTAATTGCATGACTTTTCTTCTTCATTTTCACATTTTGTGGTTTCACTTTAATTTGAGGTGAACAATGATTTGGGATATTCATAAATTATGAATTCATGCCTGCACATTCACTTTGGAACCATGCCTACACATTCCCGTCCAAAATCACGGACATTCATAAATTATGAATCCATGCCTGCACATTCACTTTGGAACCATGCCTACACATTCACTTTGGAACCATGAGATTATGAATTTTCTGTTATAAGATTATGAATTTTCAGTTATGAGATTATGAATTTTCTGTTATGAGATTATGAATTTTTGTTATGCGATTATGAATTTTATGAAAATTCATAATCTCATAACAGAAAATTCATAATTTGATCAACGCGCGCCGTTAACTCCACATCCGTGATTTTTATTTATTTATTTATTTTTTTTTTTGCCTAAAAACGACGTCGTGTGGCCTTGTGTTCACCATTCTCGGTGAACACGTTTCCAGGGCATAATTTGCCCAATTGCACTATCCACTTGATTTAGGGGGCCAATTTGACACTTTTCCATAATGTTTTATATTTAATATAAATATAAATTGTGCATATATTCATTTAACCTTCAATTATAATTAATTTGACTTCACATATATAAAAAGGAGTAATTAGATATAAAATAAACATTTTTTAAAAGGAGATATAAAATAAACATAGTTCTTACATAAATAATTTTTTTTCAAATGAACAAGTTTTTTTGTGGAGATTTTCGACAAACTTTGCCTGTTATTTTATTTATAAAATTTATTTAAATACTTTAGCTGTATAATTAAATTAGTTATTTAAAATTCAAATAATAATACAAGTAAGAATAAACTTTAAAATCAACATAAGTAAACTTTTAAAAATATTAAATATTACATTGTATAGCTATACTTACATTTTTAATAAAACTAATTCTAATTAGTATCATAACATTACAACAATACTTATAAATTTTTATCTGTGCATCACACGGGACAAATACTAATATATATATATATATATATATATATATATATATATATATATATATATATAGAAGATTATATTAAGGTAAAAACGCAACCTTAAAATATAAACATGAGGATTAATAGGGGCCGTTGGGTCTTAATGTTGGATGGTCTTGATTGAAGCGTCCGGTCATTGTGTTTATACGGTAAGTTTATTTGGTTTTTATGTTTAGGGGGGTATTTGTGGTATTTTGATGAAGATTGTAACCTACTCAAATTATTTCTTATGTAGAAGTTTCACGCGCACGCCCGGTCTTTCTATTCTCCCCTCGTTCGTCTCTCTCTCCGTGCGCAGAAGGCGTCCGCGATTCGCGTCGTCTTCACTCATTCCTCCTTCGTTCTTCACTTCCACGCCGCAATGGTAGTCGGTGGGGACCGCAGTCCATCGAAGAGGCGGGGACCACCGGTTGGAGCTGTCGGTCGAGGTACTTACACAGTCTATTTTCCTCGTGTTTTTTTTTTTTTTTTTGATAGGTTCTTGTGTTTTGTGCGTTTTTTGTCTTCTTTGTGGGTGGTTTGCTTGTTTGTAGTCATCTTCGTCGTTTTGTGGGGTGGGGTTGTTGCCGGATTTTGGAGCTAGGGTTTTTTATTTTGGGATTTTTGCAGGGTTTAGATGAATTAATTGCCAAGAGATTTCTGGATACCATTTTCATTTATTTTTGTTGCTTGTTATTTGTCCAGTTTCGGTTGTTGTTAGTTTGGTTATTTTCTTGCTTTTTCAGATTGCTAGATTTTGCTTAATTGTTTCAAATTTCAAACTTCAATCCTTTGGTGGCTTCTTAATAAGTTCATAAACCCTTGCTCTTTCAAGTCTGTACATGACTTCAATTTTTTTACTTTTGCATTTTCTGTGTTTTTCCAGCGCTGCGTCTTTTTTTCTTTTTTTTTTTTTCAAATTTTTAATAATTATTCTGCCGTGGGCTGTGAGGCTGTGGGGTTTGCATGGGGTGGTGAATTGGGGTGTTTTTGGCTACTCTATTAATTTATGTTGGTGTTTAAAAAAAAAAATCACTTTATGTTCTTTTTTTGGTATTGCAATCCGCGTATGTGAGGTGTGTGCACTGTTTGTCATTGTTGTGTGCTCGGCCTTTATGCTTTTTAGTTGGTTTATTTGGGTGTGTGCATTTTGTTTTGACTTCCCATTGGTGTGCAAATTAAAGGATTTCTCTAATGACATTATGGTTTACTCATCCGTTTTTCCATGAGGTAAAATGTTAGGCACGTAATTACAAGTCAATTTAGGGTTGCTATTACATATGTTCAAAGGTGTGCGTTGTTTGCCCTGTTTGTGTGCGCGTGTGGTTACCACTATATGTGTTGTCGGGTTCTCAATTTCTCAATCTTGTTACGTTGGGCGCTAGGTGTGTGCATGGTTTGGTCTTGGTGTTTGCTCTTTTTTTTTTTTTTTTTTGGGTTTTCATTGTGCGGGCAAAGGTGTGGATCTTATTGTTGTTTTATTTTCTAGGTAAGAAGGTCAAGGTGGCGCGGTGTGCTCCAGTTGGGGCTCAAAGTTGTGTGAGCGATGATGACTTTGTTTCACCATCTTTGACTTTCTTGGCGAGGTTGGAACAAGATCCGCTGTGGAATGCCCCTGGTGACGATTCATCGTTTGAAGAGGTGTTTGGTGGTGAGGCGTCTTCTAAAGAGGAATTTGATTTTCCTAGTGTTAAGTTTCGGGCGCAGGCTAGTGTTCTTGTTGATGCGCTTAAGGACTTGTCAACGCAACAGAAGGACGATATTAGAAGTTTGGGATTTGGGCCCCTGATGGATTTCAAGGTGTCTGAGTGTCCTCCTCGTTTGTTGCATTGGCTGTTAACTAATTTTGATGGGCAAACGAGGACGTTTGATTTGGGTGGTGGTAGATCTTTGTCTGTGAATGAGCGTGACGTTGAGTTGGTGTTGGGGTTTCCGCGTGGTGAGATTGAGATGGTGAAGCGGGACAGGCTTCATATTAGTAACCTATTGAAACATTGGAGGGGATTATTTGAGCAGGTCAGACATACGGTGACTGCGTCCCAGATTGCAGATAAGGTTATTGCCGAGGTGGATGGTGGCGTTTGGTTCAAGAGACATTTCTCTATGTTGGTGGTCTCCACGTTGGTGTCGTGCATGAGCAACGGTTATGCGAATCAGATGTACTTCCACTGTTTTGATGATGTTGCACACATCCGTGATTTAAATTGGTGCCAGCTCCTTCTTGATTCGTTGGTGGAGACGCAGGATGCTTGGAAATCTGGGCGGCATAAATGCTTCGTGGGGCCTGCGGAGTTTGTTGCGGTATGCAAATATTTTCTGTTAAATGACTTCTTTACCTTTTCATCTCCTTTCTATTTAATTTGGTGTGTTTCTGTTTCAGCTGTTTTATGTTGACCGTGTTTTGTCTTTTGAGCGTTCTGTTCCACGACTATGGCCTGCATTTCGAGGGTGGACGTCTGAATTGCTTTCGGCCCGAGAGTGTGCGGAGATAAGTGGTGGTGGGTTTGGGGGTGGAGTGATTGAGCCTCCTATTGTTCATGTACTGCCAAACGCTGAGGACGGTGATCATCATACTCATTCCCCTCGTCATGTATTTGGTCTGAAGGTAGAGTTTTAAAATTTTTATAAGGTCCGAAGCGGAATCATGCAACGCATTCCCTGAAACATAAGGTTGCGATGCTGATTTCATTGGTTATAATTGGCATTTTTTTTTTCTGAAATTGCTACTTTCTTTGCAGTTGCTCGCTTCCGATTCCTCTCCAAAAACTAAGCCTAGACACGAGCGAATCTCTTCCTCCTGGCCTGTAAAGCAGATTGCTGAAGACGGAATTCCTTCAAGGACGAGACAAAAACAATCATTGATTCCTGCAGTGATGAGGCAGGCGGGAAGTGATGCTCCCGACAATGTGGACAATAATAAGAAGGTTCGGGATATGGATGACACTTTGAAGGAGCACCAACAACAAAGAGATGTTGCTCGTGAGAAATCAAATACAATTACCGTCACCTTTGAGAATACCCTCCCACGTTCTGAAGCACTGGCTGCTTTTAACGACGATGCTTCAACTAGCAGGCCTCCTAGTAGTTCTATTCCTACATCTAGTGGTCACGATAAGCATATCGTAAAGGAATTTGCCTCTTCAACAAAAGGTGCCTCTCTTGTTCCCTTGAGCCAAAACAATGGGCTTCGATCAGACCACACTTCAGAAATGGACGGTGAAGATAACCTTACACTGAAAGAATTGTTTTCCTCCCAAACAGACAATGCCCCCCCTTTCACCCTCCCTCCTCCCTCAGATACCAAAAAGACTTTGAAGCTTGAGAATGCTATCCATCATGATAGTTATCAGGTTGGAACCGAGGAGCCAGTGATTGAAAACTTTGGGAAACTGACAGGCATAGGAGTAATTGCTGAGATTGATATTACAGCAAACCATGCAAGCCCCGCCATTCCAAAATCATCTAGTACTGATGGAAGTACGACGCCGAAATCAGATCACTGTGACTATGTCAAATCTAAGGAAATGGATTCAGGAAACCTCAGCAATACCGCCTCCCCTGTCTCAGCTTTGGATTCTTCCACACCAGCAAACCCCAACCCTCGAGTTGCAGAGGAAAGACCCGTAAAAGAGGCGTTAGATGTCAAGTCTTTCAGGCAGAGGGCAGAGGCGCTTGAAGGTCTATTAGAATTGTCAGCTGACTTACTGGAGCACAATAGATTAGAAGAGCTTGCCGTCGTTCTGAAGCCTTTTGGAAAGGGCAAGGTTTCTCCAAGGGAGACCGCAATCTGGTTGGCCAAAAGTCTGAAATGAGTAATGCATGAAGATTCAGCTCACAATTCATGATCATTATTCATATGATATGTGCATCCATTGCTCAATATTTCAGCCTTTTTTTTTTTTTTTTTTTTTTTTTTTTTCTAATTTTTTTCCATTTTCAAGTTCCATTTGAATCCTTGAAGACAAATGTTACAGTTGACTCCTGCATTGGTATATTACCCAGATGTTTTTGTTTTTTAATTTCTTAGTATAGTACATTGTACACATCAGCAATACAATCTGGGAACATTTTTTTATCCCTCCAAATGCAGAATAAAATGTTTTTATGTTACATTGTACCTTAATCTCAATATAGATGTTGTGGAAATTAAAGAAGCCAAGCATCAAGCAAAAGTTGAGTTTCAACCATTAATGTGGAGTATTAAAACTGCTGTTTTCTTGATGACTTCTTTGAGAAAAAGGTGAAGGAAAAATGTTGGTACGTGTGGGAAAGGCAAAGCCTTTTTTGGGCATTGAAGGTGGAGGATGAAAAAGATGATTCTTTCCCATTTCCTAAAGTATTCCTAACTTCCTTTTGTTCATGTCCAGCTTCCCCATGTTATAGGCAAAATATCAAGCGCTTTGACATATCATAACCACAACGTTACAAGTTTGACTCTCAACAAAAACGGTTTATCAGCCTTTTTGGTTTGAGATGGTCAACTATGGACAATCTAAGCTTGTTTACCTCTTTGTGGTCATTTGCCAGTTATTCCCAGTAAGAGCGGTCTATTGGCCTTTTTAGTTTGAGATGGTCCGTTATTCCCAGTAAGAGTGGTCTATTGGCCTTTTTAGTTTGAGATGGTCAGCTATGGGCAATCTAAGCTGGTTTACTTCTTCGTGGTCATTTGTCAGTTAGAATTACAAGGTAAGGTTTACCCAATGTATATTCTCGAGTAGTGATGGTAGGTTTTTCTTGTCACCTATAAAAGAATGTGAGATACATATAATACAAACAAAGTAAGATCTTCACTTTTATGTTAGAGCATCCACAATGGTTGGGGAGAATTGGGGAATAATGTAAGAGTGATTAGGAAAGAGAAGATGGGAGGGGAGAGAAAAAAGAAAGAAAAAAAAAATAAAACTAAAATTCTTTTTAAAAAAATAAATAAAAAAAGGACGCGTGCATTGCACGCGCCCGTGTACAGCCTGTGTTGCTTTTTTTTTTTTTTTTTTTTTTTTTTTTTTTTTTTTTTAATTATATATATATATATATATATATATATATATATATATATATATATATATATATATATATATATATATATATATATATATATATATATATTTTCTGACATTCACCTTACATTTGCAGTAATATTATTTCTCAAATAACCTACACCCACATCAGCTATTATTTTGAGTGGGGAGAATTAATTCTGAAATAACTCTAAATAAACTACAAGTGTGGATGCTCTTAGATGGATTTCTTGCCTCCACTTTAATGGTATATTTGTGATATTCTCTTGCAGCATCTTGTTAGGGCTCTGGCTCTCTTCGAATTTAATGATTAAATGCGTGCAAAATCATTCTTTCCTTGTTATTATAAACAAATATATATATATATATATATATATATATATATATATATATATATATATATATATATATATATATATATATATGTGTGTGTGTGTGTGTGTGTGTCATGATTATGATTGAAACCTTTAAAAGAAAAACATTGAAAATAAAGCATGCATTAATTATTTTGGTGTAGTTAGATGTGTGAGATGGAGATGGTAGTGTTAGGTGAGGTGAAGGAAGTTGGAACAAATTAAAGCTAGTGGTGCATCTGCATGCACTTTTAATTTGTCATCAATAAAACCACCACCCTATCATTTCATGCAACATATATTCACCTTTCTACCCTAGCTAGATTAGAATAGAGTAATGCTACTTATCCTTCTAAAAAATTTTCTCTCAATTTCTCCTCCTAATGTAGTGATGTAGCATAATTTAATTAGATTATTTAGCATTTGATTAAAAGTGTGTGAGGTTAATTGGCTAATTCATGATACCCAATAAAGAGTTAATTTCATTTTTGGTTCTAGATTTATAGGTGGTTGTTCCACTTTTAATATTTTTTTTAAAAAAAAAAAAATTAAAACATTCACATTTGATCCTACTATTATTGTGGCATGACTATTTTTGGTCATCTCTCAACGAAATTGTTGAAATGTCGTTAATACAAAGGCGTTTCGATTATTTTTATAGAAAGTGAGTTGACCTTCCTATATTTTTATGTTTATTTATTTGAAAAAAAAATTCGTAAATGAAGACCGAAATGCGTTTGTATTTAATGACATTTTAACGATTTTGTTGACAGAGGACAAAAAATAGTCATTCCACAATAATACTAGGACCAAATGTGGATGTTTTAATAAAAAATGATTAAATGTGGACTGTCACCTATAAATCTATGACCAAAAATGGAATTAACTCCCCAATAAATATAAGGAAAATTAGACATGGCAATTATGGACACAACCCGTTAACATGACATGAAAATAACGGGTTACTGTTTAGCCTTAATGTATCCCGGGTCGTTAATGGGTTGACCCGTTAATGATTCGTTATGTTTCGTGTCTTAACAGGCCAACCCGTTAAATCTATTAAGAACCCGTTAATATTATCATGTTAACACGTTTACACGAACCTGTTTATAACCCGCTAAGAACCATTGTCATGAATGAGATTACAAAAGATATCATGAACATGACTAAGGATGAATTTACTATATTAGGCCAAGATCCAACACCAATTATTGACGTTCAACAATATGAAATTTGAATTTTTATTGTGTTCAATTTTATTCTAAAAAGTAGTATGGACTTCTTTAATTATGATTTTTGAATGTTATTTTATCATTTTATGAATGTTATAAATTGCATATTTTTTTAGTTTGTTTGATGGATTGTATTGTAGGTTTTATTTCTTTTTTATATAACTTAACTTTAAATTTTAGTTTTTTTTTAAAAAAAAATATATTAATAGACTTAGCGGTTTAAACGGGTTTCGTGTCATATCATGTCCACACGAACCGAAACTTGTTAACAAAATGTGTCTATCGTGTCAACTCATTTAACTCGTTAACAAATTGTGTTCGTGTTTGTGTTAAAAATTTGAAGCCGTTAATCTTAACGTGTTGTGTCTGTGTTTAGCCTTATCGTGTTCATGTCGTTATCGTGTCAACCCGTTAACGAACCCGTATACACAAATTGCCAGGTCTAGGAAAATGTTATTTACCCCTCCTAAGGGGGCGTTTGGTTCACGAAATGTTAGATTACCTTAGGGAATGTTAAATTGATGGGGATGTTAGATAACTGGGAATTGCTAGATTCCTGTGTTTGGTTTAAAACTGATGTATGTAAATAAGGCAATGGTAATAAGACAAATTGATTAAAATGTCAAAACCCAAAATTAGTAATAAGATAAGGGAATGTGAGAATACTGAATACCTAAGAAATTGGAGGGCATCTCACATCTATATCTATATATATATAAAAGTAAAATCCTCCTAACAAATTTTCCCCCCAAAATTTTTGTAGTAAAACTTATTTGGTAAGTAAATGTCAAATGGAAAATAAATAAATAAATAAATAAATAAATAAATAAATAAATAATAATGTTATTACCTTAAATAAATAAATTATTCTACTTTCCCTTAAATAAATAAATTATTATACTTTCCTTTTGAATTAGTATTTTCTACCTATAAATACAATGACTTCTTCAATCAAAGAATCTCAGACTCATCTCTCTGCTTTCTTTTTGCATGAATTTTCTACATTTTTCTAACTATATTCTCACATACTTCAATATGTTTTGCAGTTTATATCATTTGGTATGCGTTTGAAGATACTTAAGGAGGCTCTGCTTCAACAAAAGGAAATTGAGGAGGAAGAGCATTTGTAACAGAATCCTATTGGTTTAGTTTTTATGGAAGATTGTAGAGATGCGATCGAGGATGATAAAGACGGTAATTTTGATAATTTTGTAAGATTTTCTGAAACTTAGAGTTAGTATGTTGACTTCGAGATTTGTACATGCCATTCAAGTTTCTATGTTTTTTTTACCAAGCAAAGTTCATTTTACAGCATTTCACAGCATTTTTATATATATCATTTGAGTAGAGTGTTTGTTTAACCTATTAAAAATCTCGCTATATTTGATTTTTTCTAAATTTTTGTAAAATACAAAAATAATGATTATTTAAAAAAAAGAAATAAATAACAAATACAATTTCAGATTTTGTGTTACTCCATTCACATATTAGTATAAATAAATAAAAGAGTAATAAAATAAAATACAAAGGAAATATAAATTTTTAACCAAAAATTTAATTAGAGAAACCTCCCAAAAAAATCCACGTTGTACTGAATCCAAATAAAAAAATACTGGCAATGGCACAATCATAAGGATCAAAGTGAACAGTGGAAGACCCAGAAATCTAGACATCATTGATATACCGAACAGTGATGAGAGACTCAGAAATAGGAATATCATTATGAATGAAAACGGAGATTTTCTTGACACCCGAATTTGGTTTAAGGAGAAGTTTACTCTTCAGTGCAAATGTCTCTTCAATGGATTTTGTATGGTCATATAGAGTGTATTTGTACACCATGGATGAGTTCAAAATCGCATAATATTGAAATTATAAAATGGTAAGAGATCTCAAAAAAGGTAAAACTTTTAAATTTTCAGTTAATACAAAAAATGTTATAATCGTCGAAAATATATATCTTTAACTTTAGACAAAAATTAAAAATGAAATCATAAACAATTTTAATAATTGACTATTTCATTTCTATGTTTCTTGAAAAATGATGGGCATGAACAGGCTGACTCATCGTGAAATATAGTAATTAATGAATTACCATTAAAATTAGTATAGTAATGAAAGAATTATCATTTGTATGTTGACATTTTCCCCCGTTTATTACCATTCAAATGTTAAAAATTATACTATATAGACACAAAATATGCATATATGGTAAATATGCAATTTATATATATATGCCCCTAAGTTTTGGGGATAAACTTGGTTAGCAGGATTTTACTTTTAATTATATATAGATATAGATTATTCTCATAATTTTTCTTTCCTTCTTTTGTGTTATTATTATTGTAATTTTATGGTAATGTATTTAAATATTGGAAGAAAACAAATGTTATAATTAATGAAATTATTATGGTAATTGCCACAATATTTGGTAAT